ATGTGGAGGGGGGATGAGGAGGAGGAGAGAGGAAGATAAGGAGATGATGAGGATGAGGAAGTGGAAGGGAGGAGAAGAGTAAGAGGAGAGGATGGTGGAGGGGAGGAGATGATGGAAGAGGGAAGGAGGGGATGGAGGAGGAGAGATGATGATGAGGTGGAGTGGATGGGGGAGGAAGGAGGAGGATAGGAGGAGGAGGAGTGGATAGGAGGGAGGAGGAGATGATGAGGAGGAGTGGATGGGAGGTGGTGATGAGGTGGAGTGGGATGGTTGGGAGAGGAGATGATGAGGGAGGAGGATGGTGGAGGAGGAGGAGATGATGAGGAGGTGGAGGGAGGGTGGAGGGGGATGAGATGATGATGTGAGGAGGAGGGGAGTGGATGGTGGAGGAGAAGGGAGATGAGGGGGAGGGGAGTGGATGGTGGAGGAGGAGATGATGAGGAGGAGGAGGGATGGTGGAGGAGTGGAGGTGGGAGGAGGAGGATGATGATGATGATGAGGAGGAGGAGATGATGAGGAGGTGGAGTGGATGGTGGAGGAGGAGATGAGGATGGAGGAGGAGGAGGAGGAGGAGTGGATGGTGGAGGAGGATGATGATGATGATGGTGGAGGGGAGGAGGGGATGGTGGAGGAGGGGGTGGTTGGTGGAGAGGAGGGATGATGAGGTGGAGTGGATGGTGGAGGAGGAGATGATGAGGTGGAGGAGGATGGTGGAGGAGGAGAGATGAGGAGGAGTGGATGGAGGAGATGATGAGGAGATGATGAGGATGGAGTGAGTGGATGGTGGAGGAGGAGATGATGAGGTGGAGTGGTGGTGGAGGAGGAGATAATGAGGAGGAGTGGATGGTGGAGGAGGAGATGATGGGAGGAGTGGATAGTGGAGGAGGAGATGATGACTCACCGCGTTCATGTCAATGCCGTTGGTGTAGGACCACGCGTGTTGGAAGTACTCCTCCAGGCGCTGGCGTAGGGGGTTGGGAATCTGGTGGAAGCGGATGAACTCGCGGACCCGCAGCATCTGGGGTGTGGTACCGGGCGGTGCCGGAGTACAGCCTCTGGATGATGGCGGACACGTTCCCAAAATATGCTGGCGTACATTAATGCTGGGGGAGGAGAAGAGACGAGGTCACCCCACTACAGACACCGCAATCTGCACCTCCTGAACCAGGGTGGGGGGATATCTCTACAGCGGCAGAGGGGGGAGGATGGAGACATGAACAGGGCGGCGCCTGTTACAGGAGAACTGTCTGTGATGCTGCAACACCATCATCGCCTGCACTGGATAATGACCAGATTGGTGGCTGCTGGGTAACACAGACAGTTCTTATTGCAGACCATCCTAGACAATGTCCTTCCATCGGATGATCCCACGCTGGCCGCAAACAACTGGACAATGCCTGTAGCTCCTCCTCCTCGTAATGTCCCGGAGATGTGACATCGAACAATTCCCCAGAACTGCCCGAATATCCCGAAATGGAACCTTCCCACCTCCCCCAACACTTCCAGATGCCGAGAGACCCCCCACGACAGGAGCAGAGGAGCGGCTGGTATATAGAGGTGCCGGCTCCGGGGCCGTCCTGCAAAAAACTACACTCAACGTTGTCCTCGTGGACTTCCTAAAAAAAAATTTTTTAACAAAAAATGTTTTTTGTGGCTTTTTCTTTGGCATAGTGGTCACATGACTGCTGATAAACAAGAACAAACCTAACTCTATGGATGTTTGTTTATAGACAAAACCATGTGATCACCAATTCAGTGCCGGCCTGGTGATCACATGGCTTTGTTGTTAAACAGGACCAAACGTATCTCTAAGGTTGTCTATAGACAGTCATGTGACCACCAATTGGGCTCAGGCATGGTTATCGATGGCTTTGTTTATAAACAAGACCAAATCTAACTCTTAGGCTGTTTGTTTATAGACAAAGCCACGTGATCACCAATTCAGAGCTGACACGGCAATCAATGGCGTTTGTTGATAAACAAGAACAAACCTAACTTTAAGGCTGTTTGGTTATAGACAAAGCCACGTGATGACCAATTCAGTGCCTACCCGGTGATCACATGGCTTTGTTGAGAAATGAGATCAAACCTAAGTTTAAGGCTGTTTCTTAATAAACAAAGCCATGTGATCACCAATTCACAGCCAACATGGTGGGCAACGTCTTTGTTGATAAACAGGCCCAAACCTCACTCTAATGCTGTTTGTTTATAGACAAAGCCATGTGATCACCAATTCAGAGCCAACATGGAAGTCAATGACTTTGTTGATAAACAAGACCGAACCAACTTCTAAGGTTGTTTGGTTATAAACAAAGCCATGTGATCACCAATTCAGTGCCTACATGGTGATCACATGGCTTTGCGGATAAATAAGATCAAACCTATGTTTAAGGCTGTTTGTTCATAAACAAAGCCATGTGATCACCAGTTCAGAGCCAACATGGTGGGCAACAGCTTTGTTGATAAACAGGACCAAACCTAATTCTAATGCTGTTTGTTTATAGACAAAGCCACGTGATCGCCAATTCGGTGCCGACCTGGTGATCACATGGCTTTGTTGTTAAAAAGACAAAAAGCATCTCTAGTCATGTGACCACCAATTGGGCTCAGGCATGGTTATCAATGGCTTTGTTTCTAAACAAGACCAAACCTAACTCTAATGCTGTTTGGTTATAGACAAAGCCATGTGATCGCCAATTCAGATCCAACATGGCAATCAATGACTTTGTTGATAAACAGGCCCAAACCTAACTCTAAGGCAGTTTGGCTATAGACAAAGCCATGTGATCACCGGGTCAGTGTGCCTACCTGGTGATCACATGGCTTTGTGGATAAATAAGACCAAACCTATGTTTAAGGCTGTTCATAAACAAAGCCATGTGATCACCATTTCACAGCCAACATGGTGGGCAGCGTCTTTGTTGATAAACAGGCCCAAACCTCACTCTAATGCTGTTTATAGACAAAGCCATGTGATCACCAGCTCAGTGTAGACATGGGCGATCACATGGCTCTGTTGATAAACAAAGCTGAATCCCTGACAGCTTCCACTGTTTGTCTTTCTAGCTGCACTCTTTATCAGGTAGCATGTCCCTCATTGGGTGCTGTGGTTCCTCCTGCAGTGGTATAAGGGGCCAGTGGGAGGAACCAATGGGGGGGGGGGGCACACTACACTAAACACTTGGCAATGCTGGGTGGCAGCAGAGTTCTTCCAAAGAGCAAAGATCTGAGTCCCCACCGGAAAGGTAAATATACGACCCCTTTTGTTTTCAGGGTGTTGGTGGTTTTTCTCAGTTTTTAGGGCAGCAGCGATTTTTGGCCCCCAATGACTCTGAGGCATTTCAGCAAAACAGTGAATTTCCCCAAGATTTCTAGTGTAGCGCCCTCCTAGTTAGCTAGGGGGAGCCAGATACTGATTTGTAGTGAGGAGGCTGAGTAGTAGTCTGGGTCCAATTGTGGTCGGGGCTGAGAAGCTCTGCAGGGCGGCCCCTCTGGAATTTCCCCTGCTCGGGGCTTTGGAGGAAGGCCCTAGAGGCAGTAGGTGGATCTGTGGAGAAGCTGGCTACACTCTTAAGGGATCCTGGCCGATCCCCAACAGGAGGTTGGCAAGGGGCTGAGACACCCTTCAAGTGTGTTGGAGCACGCTCAGAGCGGGAGAGTTCAGGTGGAAGATGGAGATTGGGGTTAGTTTTCTGGAAAGGATGCGGCCCACCCTTCCTGCTAGCGCACCCATGGTGAGAACGTCTCTTGCAGGGGCGGACCGACCATTCGGACACTCGGGCACTGCCTGAGGGCCTGGGGTCAGTAGGGGGGCCCATGAGATGCCCCTGGTATGTTTCATAGGCTTTTTTGGGTGTGGTTTGAGTGTAGGCGAGGACACAGGAGCCCCATGATCCCCTATTGTCCGGGGGCCCCATGAGTTGTCAGTCTGCTACGGGAGGTGGAGGTGGACTGATCATTCGGGCACTGCACTGGGGCCCGGGGTCAGTAGGGGGGCCCATGAGATGCCCCTGGTAGCTTTCATAGGCTTTTTGGGGAGAGGTTTGAGTGTGGGTGAGGATACAGGGGCCCCATGATTCCCTATTGTCCGGGGGCCCCATGAGTTGTCAGTTCTCTACTGGGGTGGAGCAGGGGGTGGACTCACCAATTGGGCACTGCCCAAGGGCCTTGGTTCAGTAGGGGGGGCCCCATGAGATGCCCCTGGTACCTTTCATAGGCTTTTTTGGGAGTGGTTTGAGTGTGGGTGAGGATACAGGGGCCCCATGATCCCCTATTGCCCGGGGGGCCCATGAGTTATCAGTCCGCTCCTGGGGTGGACTGACCATTCGGGCACTACCCAAGGGCTTTGGGTCAGTAGGGGGCTCCATGAGATACCCCTGGTACCTTTCATAGGCTTTTTGGGGAGAGGTTTGAGTGTGGGCAAGGACACAGGGGCCCCATGATCCCCTATTGTCCGGGGGCCCCATGAATTGTTATTCCGCTCCTGGGGTGGAGCGGGGGTGGACTGACCATTCGGGCACTGCCCAAGGGCCTTGGGTCAGAAGGGAGGCCCCATGAGATGCTCCTGCTACCTTTCATAGGCTTTTTTGGGTGTGGTTTGAGTGTGGGCGAGGACACAGGGGCCCCATGATCCCCAATTGCCCGGGGGGGCCCCATGAGTTGTCAGTTCGCTACTGGGGTGGAGCAGTGGTGGACTGCTCAAGGGCCTTGGGTCAGTAGAGGGCTCCATGAGATGCTCCTGCTACCTTTCATAGGCTTTTTTGGGTGTGGTTTGAGTGAGGATGAGGACACAGGGTCCCCATGATCCCCTATTGTCCCGGGGGGCCCATGAGTTGTCACTCTGCTACTGGGGTGGGGAAGGGGTGGACTGACCAATTTGGGCACTGCCCAAGGGCCTTGGTTCAGTAGAGGGCCCATGAGTTGGACACTGGGGGGCCCCATGTCTATTTCTCCTGTCAGTCTCTCTCCCCCTGGTCTCTGGTGTCCAGAATATCATGGAGCTACTTACACCCGATCAGCATGACGCATATGGAGAAGATCTTCTCGGAGTTGGTGTTGGGGGACACGTTCCCGAAGCCCACGCTGGTCAGACTGCTGAAGGTGAAGTAGAGGGCCGTGACGTATTTGTCGTTGATGGACGGCCCCGACTTCAGGTTGCTGCTGTTGTACGGCTTCATGATCTGAGTGCCCAGCGAATACAGCCAGCCGATCGATCGATATTCCGGGTCGTAGTGTTCCATGTGACCGATGGCGTACCAGATGCAGGCCAGCCAATGAGCGATGAGGGCGAAGGTGCACATGAGGAGGAAGAGGACGGCTGCTCCGTACTCCGAGTACCGGTCCAACTTACGGGCTACGCGTACCAAGCGCAGGAGGCGGGCCGTCTTCAGCAGGCCAATCAGAGTGGTGGTCTGGAGAAACACAAAACGAGCCTAAGAAACCGGAAGATTCCGCGCCAAAAGACGAGATGGAACACATCGAACGAGATCAGATTAACGAGGAGACAGAGAAGGCCACAAAGTCACACGGACACCCCGGGACCTGACACCGCCCACCGCCGTCTGCCATATTGTCCCCGGGGAGCCACTTAATGGTCCAGTTATGGGGAAGGTCCTATAAATAGAAGATGAGGCGGGGGCTCTACTGACATCAATGAGGGGGTGACACAGCCAATGATATGAAGGGTCCAAATCACATCCGGGGAAGACTCCCTGCTCACGCCACGGAACTTCCGACAGGGAGTCAGCTCATTCAGCATCCCTAGTGACAGACTGACCTACTCCCCAGTCTCACTCTCTGACCACTGAGCATCCCTAGTGACAGACTGACCTACTCCCCAGTCTCACTCTCTGACCACTGAGCATCCCTAGTGACAGACTGACCTACTCCCCAGTCTCACTCTCTGACCACTGAGCATCCCAAGTGACAGGCTGACCTACTCCCCAGTCTCACTCTCTGACCACTGAGCATCCCAAGTGACAGACTGACCTACTCCCCAGTCTCACTCTCTGACCACTGAGCATCCCTAGTGACAGACTGACCTACTCCCCAGTCTCACTCTCTGACCACTGAGCATCCCAGGTGACAGACTGACCTACTCCCCAGTCTCACACTCTCTGACCACTGAGCATCCCAAGTGACAGACTGACCTACTCCCCAGTCTCACTCTCTGACCACTGAGCATCCCAAGTGACTGACTGTCTCCCCCGGCCTCACTCTCTGACCACTGAGCATCCCAGGTGACAGACTGTCTTACTCCCCAGCCTCACTCTCTGACCACCGAGCATCCCTAGTGACAGACTGACCTACTCCCCAGCCTCACTCACTCTCTGACCACTGAGCATCCCAGGTGACAGGCAGGTCATCCAGGGGGTGGAAAAAACCATTTAATTCAGAAAGGCAGCAAAATATTAGCCCCCCCCCAGGACAGGAACTTCAGCTTGGCGCTCTTCCGTTTTCATTGTCCCCGAAACCTCTGCCTTGCTCTCGGTGTGAATGGTGACCCCCAGGGTCTAGTGACCATTTAAAGGGCATTATTATCTACGGAAAGCTGCACTCTGGAGGTGGTGCGGGTCATCCGGGGGGCGCAAAAAAAACCTTTGAATTCAGAAAGGAAGAACACAGAATTCCCGGACGAAGAACGCACACAAAGCAGTTTATACACACGTCCCGCTGAGCAGTCCTCCTCCGGCTATATTCCCCATCACTGACGGGGGGAACGTCCTGCTGATACGTCCTCCACTGGCTCCAGGTATTCCCCAATCACTGACGGGAGAACGTCCCGCGGGTTGGCAATGCAGCGCCACCATGGCATTACTGCTGCATCATGTGATAGAAATGGTGTCAGTTCACATAGAGAACACTGGGGGGAGCCATCAGTCCGGGGTGGAATCCCAGCATGCCCTGTCCTCGGAACGCCCGCCTCTTGTAACAATGTGTATAGACAGTGAGGTCCCCTCCGGGGGGTGATATGAGGAACAATCAGTGATACATTGTGACAACAATGGAGTCATCATACCCCCCCCCCCCCCCCATACAGACACGTTACCTCTTTGCGGCTCTTTGCACTTTCCTCGATCCTCTTCCTTAACTTGAAAGAAAGAAATTTTCCATTCAATTCCTGACTGATGAGTGTTCCAAGCGACAGACTGTTCTGCTCCGCCCCGGCTCACTCTCTGACAATGAGCAATGAGCATCCTCATCCTAAAGTGACAGACTGTTCTGCTCCGCCCCGGCTCACTCTCTGACCAATGAGCATCCTCATCCTAAGTGACAGACAGTTCTGCTCCGCCCCTGCTCACTCTCTGACCAATGAGCATCCTAAGTGACAGACTGTTCTACTCCGCCCTGACTCACTCTCTGACCAATGAGCATCCTCATCCTAAGTGACAGATTGTTCTGCTCCGCCCCGGCTCACTCTCTGACCAATGAGCATCTAAGTGACAGACTGTTCTGCTCCACCCCGACTCACTCTCTGACCAATGAGCATCCTAAGTGACAGACTGTTCTGCTCCACCCCAGCTCACTCTCTGACCAATGAGCATCCTCATCCTAAGTGACAGACTGTTCTGCTGCACCCCGGCTCACTCTCTGACCAATGAGCATCCTCATCCTAAGTGACAGACTGTTCTGCTCCACCCCGGCTCACTCTCTGACCAATGAGCATCCTAAGTGACAGACTGTTCTGCTCCACCCCAGCTCACTCTCTGACCAATGAGCATCCTCATCCTAAGTGACAGACTGTTCTGCTCCACCCCGGCTCACTCTCTGACCAATGAGCATCCTAAGTGACAGACTGTTCTGCTCCACCCCGGCTCACTCTCTGACCAATGAGCATCCTAAGTGACAGACTGTTCTGCTCCACCCCGGCTCACTCTCTGACCAATGAGCATCCTAAGTGACTGTTCTGACTTTCCCTGCTCCACCCCGACTCACTCTCTGACCCATGACCAATGAGCATCCTAAGTGACATGCTGCTCCAAGTCACTCACTGACCAATTCTCCTAAGTGACCCCCAAAGCCCTCACTCTCTGACCAATGAGCATCCTCATCCTAAGTGACAGACTGTTCTGCTCCGCCCCGGCTCACTCTCTGACCAATGAGCATCCTCATCCTAAGTGACAGACTGTTCTGCTCCACCCCAACTCACTCTCTGACCAATGAGCATCCTCATCCTAAGTGACAGACTGTTCTGCTCCACCCCGGCTCACTCTCTGACCAATGAGCATCCCAAGTGACAGACTGTTCTGCTCCACCCCTGCTCACTCTCTGACCAATGAGCATCCTAAGTGACAGACTGTTCTGCTCCACCCCGGCTCACTCTCTGACCAATGAGCATCCTAAGTGACAGATTGTTCTACTCCGCCCCGGCTCACTCTCTGACCAATGAGCATCCTCATCCTAAGTGACAGACTGTTCTGCTGCACCCCGACTCACTCTCTGACCAATGAGCATCCTCATGCTAAGTGACAGACCATTCTGCTCCGCCCCGGCTCACTCTCTGACCAATGAGCATCCTCATCCTAAGTGACAGACTGTTCTGCTCCACCCCAACTCACTCTCTGACCAATGAGCATCCTCATCCTAAGTGACAGACTGTTCTGCTCCACCCCGGCTCACTCTCTGACCAATGAGCATCACCAAGTGACAGACTGTTCTGCTCCAACCCCCGGCTCACTCTCTGACCAATGAGCATCCTAAGTGACAGACTGTTCTACTCCACCCCGGCTCACTCTCTGACCAATGAGCATCCTAAGTGACAGATTGTTCTACTCCCCCCGGCTCACTCTCTGACCAATGAGCATCCTCATCTTAAGTGACAGACTGTTCTGCTCCACCCCGACTCACTCTCTGACCAATGAGCATCCTCATGCTAAGTGACAGACCATTCTGCTCCGCCCTGGCTCACTCTCTGACCAATGAGCATCCTCATCCTAAGTGACAGACTGTTCTGCTCCACCCCAGGCTCACTCTCTGACCAATGAGCATCCTCATCCTAAGTGACAGACTGTTCTGCTCCCCCCTGGCTCACTCTCTGACCAATGAGCATCCCAAGTGACAGACTGTTCTGCTCCCACCCAGGCTCACTCTCTGACCAATGAGCATCCCAAGTGACAGGGACTGTCCTCCCCCGGCCTCACTCTCTGACCATCCATGGTGTCCTCTATCTCCCATCCCCCCATCACTGACCATGTTCTGTACAGTCAGAGGAGCGAAGCGGCAGCCATGGAGAGCGAAGAGCACAGAGCCAGGAGCACAGCACGAGGACGCCGGATACAGAGGTGCCACACCCCACTCACCATCGGTCCACCAATGAGCACCTCATCCTAAGTGACAGACTCTACATCACACAGCTCCCTCACTCTTCTGGACCACATGACAGATCACTTGCCTGAGCGAGGAGGAGAATGACCAGTCGGGGGTGAGAGATGACGAGGAATGAGAGTGTGACGGAGGTGGGTTCTGACTCCACCCCTCACTCCATCACCTCCATGAGCATCATCACCCTAAGAACCACTTCCATCACCTCCCACTTCCATCACCTCCCCAACCCTCCACATCCTTCACCTCCGCCACTTCCATCTAAGCTCCACCCTCCCCACTCACCTCCTCCAACCACTTCCATAATCTCCATCACCTCCACCACTTCCAACTCACCTTCCATTCATGCTCCACACCACCGCATCATAAGATCCAATGATAACATCCATCCAAGAACTTGACTTTCCACACTCCACCACAACATCACCTCCACCACTCTCCACCAATGTCCACCACCTCCACATCACTTCCATCACCTGACAGACTTCCATCACCTCCTCTAGATACTCACTCCATCACCTCCAGGGATGATCCATCATCCACCCTCACCCTTCCATCACAGCCCATACCCACACCTCCACCTCCACCACTTCCATCACCTCCATTACCATACTCCATCCCAAGAATAACCAAGAACCACCTGCCACCACCTTCACCATCACCTCCCACCACCCTCCATATCAATCACCTCCACCCACTTCCATCACCTCCCACTGACAATAGACTCGATCAACATCCCACCACCTCCATCACCTCCACCACCTCCACCACTTTCACATCACCCACATCCTACCTTCCACCACAGACTTCTATCACCTCCACCACTTCATCACCTGGAACCATAAGTCCCACACACCATACATCACATCACCATCCATCACCATTCACCTAGTGACCAATTCCACCTCCACTGCACTTCTGACACTTATCCTCCACTTCACCCAATCACCACTTCCATCTTACAACCACAGACACATATACCTCCACCACTATCCATCACCAGAATCCATCACTCCTCCACATCCACCTCACATCCCCACACCTCCACCTTCCATCCTCCATTCAACTTTCATCACCTCCC